GTTGCCTTTTAAGAACTCTAAAATTCTGGGGGGGAAAATTAGAAGCCAAGAAATTCATAGTTAAGATTAAATTACAAGAAACCCACATTTTTGGAAAACTGGAAATTTGCAGGTAAGATAGTTAAGTCTTTTTAAGTCTAATGGTTTTTTTTTATATATAAAGGTAGTATAGACTCAAACCATTGATATGTGTCTGGATTCTTCACTTTAGCAAAGTTTTCTGTGTGGGTAATTTTTATCTTATGGGTTGTTTGTCAAAAACTGTTCCCTTCAACTATAATTAATTATTATATGTGATATCACAGCATTGAACAATATCTCAGCAGTGAATCAAGCCAAGCCAACTTACTCACTGATACCATATATCACTGTTAAAATGGTTCTAACCAAGATCATTTTTAAGTCAGTTTCTGATCACTTTCACAGTGTAAACAGGGCCATCTCTGATTCCTCGTCTAACCCAAATTCTGCTGTAAATGTATATATTTGTAATAAAAACTATTTGACCTTTGTCCTTGCTTCCAAAGTAATGTCAATTCAATTTTTTTTTCCAGAACTTTTTTTCCCGACGAAATCTCCCTGGATCGCCATTCTGTGCACGATCCTGGTTATTCAGGTTTTTTTTATTGGCCTCTTAATTTATCTCTTGAAAACAAAAGGTAATACATTAAATTAGGAAATAAACTATAAAGAGACATTCTCGTAATAAATAAATAAAAAGATGTTTTAATGTTATACAGTGATGGTGATGACTCCATAGTTAAGGTTGTTACTTTATTTTCAGATTATTGCAAAGTCTGTTTTTGTTCCCCTCTCTACAATCCCAAAACAGTGATATCAACACAAAAAAATTATAGCCCTAGAGCCGTGTGTGATTTTTGTTCTGCAAAATTGGAAGTGATTTGAACAAAGGGTTCCAATTTACAGCATCCTAAATATGGGAATGTTCATCCAAGCTCCATTTTTTTTCTTTTACCATTTCTTAAGAACAAAACAAAGGAGAAACTTAAAATTTAGTTTATTGGACTTCGCAGCTGAGATCTAATGTGCAGAACCAAAATACAGTTGTATAAAGTGGCAATATGCAACACGGATAAGGCCCAAGTTGTCACATGTCATCACTGATTTGAATTGCCTCTGTTTTTCTGTAATGAATCCAAGGGTATGTCCTGACTTCAGAATTAGCCCTGGCTTTCACTCAGCTGTTGCTCCTAGCCCCATCTTCCATTCACACACACAGCCCTCTGGCCTGAGTTCAGTGGTCCTTTCCACCCAGGCTAGCTCACACAGCTCGGGCTGTGCTTTCACTCAGGCTGGTAATATAGTGAGGGCTCAGGCTAAATCACTAGAATTCTGATGGTCCTCCAGTTCCTTCCCACAATTCCCCTGGGTGCCCAGAAGGACAGACAAGTTCTCCCAAAAATCACTGGAAAAGAATCGTAGAATGACTCAGCTTAGCATAGCCCAAAGAACCCTGGGATATGTCCCCAGAAACCCTAGTATTGCACAAGGGTGAGTGTGACGGTAGTGAAGACCCAGTAACTTTCCGAGTATGTGTTTGCAGAGCAGCCACAGACCTGGCCTAGGTTAACCTAGATGCTCAGACCCAAGTACCAATCATTCAAGTTAACTCTGCAATGAAGACACACTCTGAGACTCCTGGAGCCTGGTTTTAAGATCTGAGGAATCCCAATTCCAGCTGGAGTCAAAGGTTACTGTAGATGCTGAGCTCTTCTGAAAATCAGGCACAGGGTGTGTCATGCTGGACATGTTAAAACTCAGGAACCCAAACAATGACCATTTTCACTGTGCACCGGTTTTGTGGGTCCGGGAGCCAAGAGATCTGGGACCCCATTCTGGGTCTGCCCCACCTTTTGCACATGCCTATTTGCATTCAGAGCAGAGTCACTTTATCTTGCATGTAGTGGACGCACAGGCACCTTGTTTGGCCACTCTGCCAGCGTACCCCAGTGCAGTCCCTGGGGGAGGTTTGAAGCCCCATGGGTAAATTTTGACCATAAAGGGCATAGTCTTTTTACTGGGGAAAAGAAATGTAATAATAATAGTGTATTTATTTCTGCTTATTTTTTTAGAGAAGAAGGCTGCAGAACTTAGTAAGTGTTATTCCCTCACCTTTCACAATCTTTTGCACACAGTTGTATTGGGGGGGAGGGGGTGGTGGTTGCTTGTTTTGGGGTTTTTTTTGTTTCATTTGGTTTTTAATTTAATTTTTAAAAGGTGTTGTGGGGTGGGTTAATATTAAATATGTGGAATTTCACTTTGAAAGGAAACTTTAAAAAAAAAATGTTGTGAGAGACTAAAACCAGGAAGGTTGAATAGAAATGACCCATCAGCCTTAATCTTGGTACTGACAGACAATTTAATGTAATAAAGGCATGAGATATAACATATACAATGAAGGGAAAATCTAAGAGCCTGATTCAGGAAAGTTTTATGCAAGTATTTAAGTGTCTCCCTATTTAGGGCAGCCCTTAAACACATGCTTAACTTTAGGCATGATTTTTTTTGTCCCATTGAAGGCAATTGGCACGTAAGTGCATGCCAAAATTTTGCATGGGCCTGAATCTTTACTTTCTAGTAAGGACATCAGACACAGAAGATGGAAAGTTTATATTTCAATAAATCAAAGATAAAATAAATGCTTAAAGCATGTTATCAAAATATTAATATTAGTAACTTTATTTCCTGTTGTTATTTCAAATCTTTGGAAATAATGATAATGGGTTCAGACCTTCTCCAAGTGGGTTGGATACAAAGCCAGGGTCTTTCCCTTCTCTCTCATGAGATTTGGAATTGGGTCCATAGGTAACAATTGAGGATTTGTCATGGACATCAGTGAGTGAAGCATTAGACCTTTAATAAAAGGGGTTATTTGTTTTGTTTTGTTTTTTGTTTTAAAGATAACTTTAGTGTATCTCCAGGTTAAGTATGATGATAATGTAGAAATAAATATTAGTAGTTGGAAATTTCTGTAAACTCGCTATTATATGTGTAACCTTTGAAAGAGAATTGCTCATGTACTGTATACGTATTTCTGACATTATTTCATGGTAACTTTTTACTAGAACTTATCACTAGAGATGTTTGGAAGATGTGCTGGACATTTTGCTCTTTGAAAATTAGTTTCCCCCCAAAAGTCAAAATATTAAAAAAATAATAATAATGGAACCAGAAAGTTCTAAAAAATGAAAAATATCATTTCAAATGGACATTTAGGCACAAAGTAAGGTTTTGTTTGTTTAAATGGGAAAATTAACTGAAAACTGATATTTTAATTTGAAATGAAACACAAATTCTCATTTCTAAATGTTGATTTACATTTATTTTTTTGAAATTTCCCCACAGAAAAAGAGGTTTCCCTCCCCCCACCATAAGAATCATAATTTTTCTTCTAAAAATTATCATTTCAATTAAATATTTTTTGCAGGAAAAGTTTTCAAACACATTTTTGACCAGATTTACTTATAAGTGTTTCCCCCTTTCCACTCCCCGCATTTAATTCTGTTTAATATTGCTGCCTGCTAATTCAGTGTTCGTTCAGAGGAGTTCTCATTTCTTTTTATTGATTGCAGGGTGGAGAGACTGCCTTACAGAAGCAGGTAATAAATGTTCATATTTTATCAAAGCCCAAATCCCATCCCCCCCAAGGGTTCCTAACATTCTGTTTGCTTTTTTGACTGCCGCTGCACACTGAGCAGAAGTTTTCAGAGGAGGGTTGACCATTTTGGTTGGACGTATTACTGGAGATTTCATCACATGACATAATCTTTAATTTAAGATGAAAGTTTAATTCCTGGAGACTCCAGGAAAATCCTGGAGGGTTAGCAACCCTATGTCAGAGAACTATCCACAATGACTCCAAGATCTCTTTCTTGAGTAGCAACAGCTAATTTAGACCCCAACCTTTTGTTGGGATTACGTTTTCCTGTGTGCAGTACTTTGCGTCTATCAGCATTGAATTTCATCAGCCATTTTGTTGCAGATAGTTTCCTTTCTCAGAAATCCCTTGGTCTGCCACACCAGCAAGCTGCGTGCCCAGGGAGTTCGGGCTCAGATCCACAAGCCCAGACTGAGGCACCTAACTCCCAGGTCCACAAAACCCCTGCCTGGCTGCCACCTGAATGGAGATGTCAGAACTCAGGGACTTTCTCTGCAAAACTATAGGCACCAAGGGCCTACGTTTCTGCCTCTGGGCAGGTACATTGCTGTCTCCCACTAGGCACCCAGGTGCCTATCTCCCACCTAAGTCCCTGTGCGAGCCAGGAGCCAGGGACGACAGCCTTTCTAGTGGCTCAGAGGCCACCTAGCTCTGTGTAGAACAGCTGAGGGAAAAGGCACCTTGTAGCTTTCAGCCAGTGCTTAGGGTACTCACCCAGGATGTGGAAAACCTCCAGTCCAAGTCTCTCTCCACCTGTGAGGAGAAAGGGACTTTAAAAGGGGGCTGGGACGGGGACACAAGCCAGGGGCTTCTCTTAGACCTCCTCCCCCCCGCCCAGGGCAGTTGGAGGGTCCAGGGCTCCCCACAGTGGCTCAAGCTCCATGGGGAGTTCTTATCATGGCCCAGCTCAGGTGGCATGGGTGAGGGACTTTGGGGGAAGAGGAGGGGCAGAGGGTGGGGGCCACGGAAGCAGGTGGGGCCACAGGGAGGACAGGAGGAGGGGGGAGAAGAGGGGCATGGAGATGGGGGCCACAGAGAGGGGCCAGGCAACAGGGAGAAGAGGAGGAGCAGGGAGTGGGGGCCATGGAGAGGGGCGGGACTTTAGGT